TGTTTGAAGATGGGCGCTTAAGTGTATAAGAAATATGTCTGACCTAAGATAAGGCTCTGACCTAAGACTTGATTTCCATGTCAGTTGAAAGAAGAGGATGAAATATGATCAGTGGCTTAGATTCGGAGCAAGATTCCCATCTGGTGTAATTTAGCCCAATTTCATTGAATTAATCCATTTTAAAGGGAGTGAAGTTAAATTAAATTATATATTCTAAGTCTCTGGCCTTTTGTATAACCTCACTGCCTCACAGGAAAATCAATGCAGAGTTAAACTGTAATCCGGTCCTCCTCATAGTTTTAGCTACATCTGGAACTCTATAAAACATGAGCTGGAAGTGCAGTATAGTAGGTCTCTATCTAAAGATAGAGAAGCTATACCAAGAGAGGCTTTGAGAGATCTGCTACTCTCTTCCTCAATGCTTGATCAAGTCTAGCTGTAGCATTCGTGTAAGATACCTGCTTTCTTATGCTTTCATGATGGAGTTTCTGCAGTGCCTCTAAGCAATTTGTGCCTGTCCTTAAAAAAATGTCTTATGGCATCTCTTTACAGTTTTTCTTGAAGATGTTTGATCCTGTTCATTGTGTAGGTGCCTGTTTCACTGCAGTAGCTTCTAAGATGTTTGGCTCCTACTGTCCTCTGTCACACTACTGTCTCACCTTAGTTTTAACAATCTCAGTTGAATCTGTTCTCATAACTTGTGTTTGTCCAGCCTTGGATTATTCTGGCTGCTTTTCTCAGTCTTATTTGTCTTATTTGCTATATTTGAATTGTGTACTCCAGGTTGAGTCTTCCCAGTGCTTAGGAGGTGGAGAGTCTCAACTCAGGTGCTAAGTCCTGCTCATATGCCCTCATATGATGATTGCCACCTTGTCACCAACAACACATGACAAGGGGTAATGGATTAAAACTGGAAGAGGAGAGATTTATTTTAGACAGGTTTCTGAATTCTTCTGTTTGAAGATGGGCGCTTAAGTGTATAAGAAATATGTCTGACCTAAGATAAGGCTCTGACCTAAGACTTGATTTCCATGTCAGTTGAAAGAAGAGGATGAAATATGATCAGTGGCTTAGATTCGGAGCAAGATTCCCATCTGGTGTAATTTAGCCCAATTTCATTGAATTAATCCATTTTAAAGGGAGTGAAGTTAAATTAAATTATATATTCTAAGTCTCTGGCCTTTTGTATAACCTCACTGCCTCACAGGAAAATCAATGCAGAGTTAAACTGTAATCCGGTCCTCCTCATAGTTTTAGCTACATCTGGAACTCTATAAAACATGAGCTGGAAGTGCAGTATAGTAGGTCTCTATCTAAAGATAGAGAAGCTATACCAAGAGAGGCTTTGAGAGATCTGCTACTCTCTTCCTCAATGCTTGATCAAGTCTAGCTGTAGCATTCGTGTAAGATACCTGCTTTCTTATGCTTTCATGATGGAGTTTCTGCAGTGCCTCTAAGCAATTTGTGCCTGTCCTTAAAAAAATGTCTTATGGCATCTCTTTACAGTTTTTCTTGAAGATGTTTGATCCTGTTCATTGTGTAGGTGCCTGTTTCACTGCAGTAGCTTCTAAGATGTTTGGCTCCTACTGTCCTCTGTCACACTACTGTCTCACCTTAGTTTTAACAATCTCAGTTGAATCTGTTCTCATAACTTGTGTTTGTCCAGCCTTGGATTATTCTGGCTGCTTTTCTCAGTCTTATTTGTCTTATTTGCTATATTTGAATTGTGTACTCCAGGTTGAGTCTTCCCAGTGCTTAGGAGGTGGAGAGTCTCAACTCAGGTGCTAAGTCCTGCTCATATGCCCTCATATGATGATTGCCACCTTGTCACCAACAACACATGACAAGGGGTAATGGATTAAAACTGGAAGAGGAGAGATTTATTTTAGACATTAGGAGGAAATTATTCACTATGAGGGTGGTAAGACTGTAGAACAAGTTGCCCAGGGAGGTTGTGGAAGCCCTCTCCCTGGAAGTGTAGGCCAAGTTGGATGGGGCTCAGAGCAACCTGATATAGTGGGAGGTCTCCCTGCCAGTGCAGGGGGGGTTGGATCTAGATGATCTTTAAGGTCCTTTCCAGCCCAAATAATTCCATGATTCTATGATATTTTGGTCCCCTGTTATCTAAGGTGCTGTCTACACAGTTCAGCCAGGGTGCTCTATTTTGCTGGTACCGACTAGAACTCCCCAAGAGGGAAGATACCTTGACCATGCTTGATCTGATAGTGAGCTCAAGCCCTGTCCATGATATCTGGATCAATCGGAAATATGTGAGCAGGGGTACACAAAGCACAGCCCAAGCCATAAACTGGCATCTCGACCCTGGGGTTTTTTTGGTAGAGTTTGTGCTCTGGAGCTATCAGGCAGCAACGTGAACAAAAGCATCTGTTGTCAAACGCTGTGGTGCATGAGCCTGTTTGTTGCTGCTGGTTTTCACTACTCACACATGGGAAGGAGCAACGAATGGCCACAATGGTGAGGACTGTAGAGGACAGGGAGTTCTGTGAGTCAAATCGAGCTGCTATCACAATGCAAGCTCCCTGTGACATGTGTGCTTGTTCATGCTAATTTACACTGTGGTAATTTTTGAATGCAAGAAGTTATTGCATAAATGTGAGCTGTAAAATTTGTTTTGAAATTCTTGTATTTTATTTGCTTTTATTCCCATAATTACACTAAAGCTGTAATGACCTGTTAAATTAGAAATAATATGTCCAATGGACAAAATCACGTACCAGACAATGTAGGACACAGGAAGTAATAATGTAAGGAGCCAGCTTAGTGTATTGTCACTTCATTAAAATCTTGCACTTGTATACCACTTTTCATGTTCCATACAAGCTGATAGTTAATTAATGATTATTTTAATAAGGAAGTTGAACCAATACTGTTTAAATTACTGTTTCCTGACATCAATACAGATCTTGTGGTAAGATACCGAAATACTGTACAGTCGTTCTGGTCATGTCTGGAGACAATTTTGTCTGTGCAGATAGTCCTTCCCCCAAAGGGGAAGCAAAATGAAGATTCCCCACAAGTTGGTCTATATTAACTGAATAGGTAACTGAATAGAAAAAGTGTGATATCCTCATAATACATCCAGCACAATTCAAGCACATGCTTCAATGTTGCAATTGGATCTGCACAGGGCAGGGATTCCTACCCCAGGGCACGTGCTCACTGACTTCAGCATTGTTCCCTGTGGGGAAAAGTGTCTTTTCAGAAAAGTTTGCATGGGGAGATTTTGTACATGTGTATTTGTTTTCAGAGGAGGGGATAAAAGGAGATATGGGCTAACACCAGGGCTGGCAATTTAGCAGGAAACAAATAGCTAGGAGGTCAGGAGGTGTGGCAGTAGGTGGAAATTCTGTGCAGGCACAATTGGAGCAGAATGACACCATATTTACCCATCACAGTGTGAGCATCAAGCTGGTAAAATGAAACTTTCACAAGTATGATGCTACTGTTGAGAAATATTAGTATACCAAAAGAAGAAGAATCCAGGTTTATCACAATTTGTTCTGTTTCTGGTCAGTAGGATGAGGCATTGGATCACTCTGAAATGCTAATAGAACCATGTCCCAGTCATTTTGGTGTTTGTGTAAATATGTCTGTGTACTCGTGTTCATGTATAGTGTTCTGTATTACTTATAGTTATTTTTCATTGTGGAGATGAAAGGTCTTTTAAAGAAAAGGTGTTCAAGAATAGTACAGCTATCAATTTCCAAAGGTGGTTTTACCTCTCCAGCACTGAACAGAGCTTCACATGAGCAAAACGAGCCTGAAACAATGAATTTTGAATCAA